GGCCCCTGGAGAAGCCTTTCCAAACAAACCATGTGAGTCCTAATACCCAGGGCTTCACAAGTGGCTCCTAGCTAGGCCTGAGTTCCACCACCACCAACAACTTGGCCCTCCTTCTCCTTTTTTCCTCATTCTCTCGCTTTTCTTCTTTCCACGGATAGACGACAAAAGAAAGGGATCTCCTTCTAATTGCTTCGAAGATTGAAAAGCTGAGAGGGGTGGTGGGCGGCTACAGGGGGAAATGAGACGAAGGCTCTGGAGGCAGCGGGGGACTGTCAGTCTGGCTTTGCCCGCCCTGGGTGTGCGGTAGCTGGGATAAAGGAGCTGGCAGGACAGCCTCTGCTGCAGAGCGGGGCTGAGTGGATCAGAGCGAGGCGGGTGACTCCCAGGGCCCAGCTTTACAACTCTGGCCAATCGGAGGACTAAGAGAATGTGGACGAGATGAAGCAGCTCTGCTGGAGGCCTTCTTCACTCATGGGAAAGGACGTCTGGTCTTCACAACTGGGATTCAGAAACCATAGGCCGCTGAGAACAGTGTGTTCAAGCCAAGAAGGAGTATATAACAGAGAGAAAGCAGAAACATCGTGTATTGGTTGCCGTCCAAAGCCTTTGCCCCGGATGATGAGTCCAGCCACTATTGATCAGCGGTGTGGTAGATGATGAAGTGTGTGAACACACAGTTGGGGTGGTCCGTGACCTTTAGATCTGTTGCTATGACATGCAGAGTTGCTAATAACACTCATGCACACACACGCACTGACACACACCTTGACCTCTGCCACAAACATTGCCACAAATCCACGCCTCTTTCTCTCGCTCTGCCATCAAAGAGCAGCAGCTCCTCCCAAGATTGGCTGGGACCTTTACTCAGCTGTGAATGGGACAAAAAGGAAAGACGTTGCTTTGGTGATGATACAAATGAAAAGCCAATTGCTTGCCGTTCAATAATAGACAAAAAAGACAACATAAAAATGTAATATGAGGAGAATATAATATAGTTTTAATAGGGTCAGGGTACCTAGTACGTCATGTCTAAGTTCAAAGACAGCGCCCCGCTCATCTGTATGTGTAGTGACATGAGATCCCAAGGATTTTAGCCTTACTGGCTCCAAAAAGTTCCCTCGGTCTCCCCTCTCTGACCTCCTTTCATCCTTCCATCCCTCTGCCTTTCTTCTTTTTAATACAAATCAGCCACTCAATGCCATGCACATGTTTTAGTGTTATTTGAACTCTGTCAGAGAACTTCAAACAGCTTTCAAAGTGAACTGAGTTTTTTCCTTTCTTGCTCTCTATCTTTTTTCTCTTTTTGAAAGAACACAGCCGTGCTTCCAAGTACACCTGATCAGAAGGTCGAGAGATGGGGATTATGATATGCAAATGAGGCTTTGTTATCTGCGTTGACATTCGTTAGAAAGCGGAACAGAGGAGAGGTAACATGAAAAGGTGGCAACTCACCCCCCTCCACTCTTTTTAGCATAACCTCCCCTCTCAAACACATTGGCCTACCTAAGCCCCCTTTTTTCCATTTAGATCAAAAGGTTACACACTACAAAGAAATGCCTGTGTGGAAAAGCAGTACACACATTCACTCCTGTGTACTTTAACACAGTCAACACTATTGATTGGTCAACTGCCCCAAAGGTGTGTGCACATCTGTACAGTTTGTGTTAATGTCTGGATTCGACCGTGTCCTGATGAGGTTGTCGTCTCTTTTGGTGTTTAGGCAGCAACGGAGGTCTTTGCAATTACCAAACACTGTAGAAAGGCTTTCATGTCTCTCCCCCGCTGTGACAGGATAAGGACGAGGACACACAAATGCACACACACACACACACACACACACACACACACACACACACACACACACACACACACACACACACACACACACACACACACACACAAACACGGAGAGAGTGACTCTTCCTCCTTTCAAATGCACACAGAAACACGCATATGGTTGCCCCCCTGTTCAATCTGTATATGGTTCAGTTCAAAGGAGTCCAAGCGAGGTGGCAGTCTGTGATATTTTTCCAGCTATTAGCCTGGCCCACCATCTGCAGTAATCTACTGAGGAGTGGGTTTTATGAACTTCATAAAGGGATGGTTATTAGAGCTTCAGAGTGGAAATGGGCCGTCTGGCCTTTGAGTTTAGCAGCAGGGGTCCCGAGTGCTTTGATGTGAATCATACTGTTAAATAACTTTTGAGAGGTAGAGGGAGCTTCTGAAACTGGAAAGGTTAACCCCCTGTTATGTAAGTGATAATTGACCTAATTTATTTTTTCATTTCATCCCTTTATTTTTTTCTAGTTTTTCTTTTTGTCCATTACACAGCAGTGACAAAGACATTGAGACAGTTATGATGAATGAAAATGTACCCATTACTGTAGACATAACGATATTCCCCTTATCTTAGTTTATTATTTTTAAAATATATAATGTCATTTGGTCCCTCATAGAAAAAAACGTACAACGTGAAAGGTTCATTTAGCAGGTGTCAACTGTATCACATAATCTTCATCAGAACATGCAGCAGTTGTCATGGAAATTGAGGCAGGGACTCAAACAGTCAAGGTGTTTTGGGGTAATGTGACCCCACTAGTAATGGATTGATGAAGTATTGAGGAATTTAGTTTATTTATGTCGGACGGGAGACTTTTGTTGCATCTCTCTCTCCCTCATTTCCCATCATCTCTCTTCAGAGATCCTAGAGTAAACACCTTTAGGAGTAATTATGAGGACCAAATTCTTTAAATTACCCTGAATGACAGCAAATTAATGAGATAAAATAAAATCACCAGCATTCAAAATAGTTTTTCTATATCACCATATTAATAGGCATCTGCACAAGAAGGCCTGTTATTTAAACCTGTATGTAGTCTGTATTTGGCCTATCGCTTACCTTTCATTCAACAGAGAAGTTCATTACTTAGAATAGCATCCATTTACAACTATATGAACACATGTTGATAACCAGCTCAGTGTCCTCTCTAACAAGTATTATATTAAAAATAAATCAGTTTGAAAATTTGTATTAGTGAGAGTTTTTATTTTTGGTTTATTTTGTAATTAATTGCATGCTTCTTTACACAAGTTAACCGTCTTTTATCGATATTTGTATTTCATGGCTGCGTTGAACCTTTATATATACAGTCTATGCGTATTTTCTGTTTCTTGTCAAGAAGATAGGAGCCAATCAGCACTCCTGAGATATAAGTAGGAACCAATGTGTGTCTTTCCAGATGTTTCGCCGGGAGGTAAACAGGTTTTGACTGCACACGTCATACACACGCTTGCTAAGAGTAGCTTAGTACATTTTGGTTTGTGAATGCAAGTCTGTATGTATGATTGAAAAGCTGATAGGAGTTTAATGGACAACAATTCAACTAGAAACAACACCGATTAAGCTTTAAACTGGACACTTTTGTATCGGACTTTTATTCATCAGACAGTCGTCAGATGGTAACCAATGCGTCAATTACGCAGTACAGCAGCATCTCGGTGGTTTAACGCGTTGACTTAGTCTCTCCGTGCAATATACAAGGAGTGTATTATTAATACGATTACAGTGCCAATTGTTTCCCTGCCCATATCTATGTCCATTATCAATAAGAGTGCACTCTTTATTTCGTATATACCAATGACACCATATTAAGAATGTATCATATCACCAGACTCCACCACACCTCCACTAAGGTATAGTTTCCATCCGTTCCTTTCTCAGAGTCTTTGTTAGATCTTTTCTCTATTACCCGTTATTGAGGAATGCACATTGCTTAGTTTAGGTATGTACTCAAAGTTGCCAGAAGGTGGGGCTGCAAATCCATATTCCCAGTTACCAATGTCCTCTCCAATATGACCAGAGCCATGGACCCAGATGGTTTGAATGCCCACTCTTCTATATGGGATGATAGAAATCAAGCTATATTTGAAAATGAAAGGAAAAAAACAAGCTGATTTCTGGTCACAAGCTATTACTTACTTAGATGTGGATACATTTACTCATGAACTTTACTTAAGTATAACTTTGAGGTACTTGTAGGATTCTTTAATTAAGTATTTCCATGTATTGCTTTACTTTATGCTTCTATTCCAACACAATTCAGAGGCAAATATATACATAATATATGCAAACAAATTATTGATCTTGTATTATTGTATTATTATTATTATTATTATTGTGTCTTAAAATACACTTTATTGATCCGTCGGTGGAATTCACAAGCTACCAGGCAGTATGGTAAAACAAGCATGGTCCTCACTTAGCAGCTGCACCATTAAAGCTATCAACACATTGATGCATTATTATTAAAAAACATACGAGGCAATATATTCTGAAATGGGCCAGTTTGCAGATACTACTGGTACTTGAATTATTTGTTGATTCTAAGGTTTAGTACTTTTACAAAAATAACATTTTGAAGGTGGGTTTTATTTTCAACAGAGTATTTCTAAGCTGGTTGGCCATTACAACTTTCACTTTAGTAAAAGCTCTACCTTTAGCCTCTTGAAGTGTCTGCAGCATCACTGTCCACTAGAAGGAACCCTTCACCCCTCACATAGTTCTGCTCTCATGTTGCAACTGAAAATCACAGAAGCATCAATCAACAATTGTATGTCCAGACCAGAATCTGTAATAAATTATATTTTACAGGTGATGCCAGTTGAGAGAGGATGTAGAAGAACATAAATACTTAAAGGTCGAGATTTAGGACTCATGTGGAGAGTTTCCTGTGAGGTATTGAACTCAGTCCAGTAGGTGGCAGCATGTTTAAGCAAATCAAATCAAATTGAACCATCCTGAATTCAGACTGTGCACATGGTGGGTCTGATTCATATGGAGGTTGTGTCTTGCTTAATATATGTCTTTAAAAAGTCGTATCATATAAAACAATTATATATTTTTGAGCTTATGTGTTTTCACCTCATTTGTCTAGGAGCCTAAAGGGAGACAGTGTGCTGTTTGTGGAGGGGACCCCGCGTCTTAAAGGCATGCTGCAACGCCGTGACGCAATTCACACTCTCCTGCTGCAACACATTAAAATATGAACCGCCAGGGTTCCGACGTGAGGATGCTTCTTTTGGGTGTCATTGTCATTTTAAATTGTGAGTAGAGAGGGGGGTGTCGCTGTCTGAACACCACCCATTCACCAAAACAACACACGGGATCAGCGTCTCTTTGACAGATCTCGCTGTCGGTCCGCACCTCTCGCTGGGTGCACCCTCCGCAGGCTCCGGACACAGAAAGCTCTCCGCGCAGGGATCCTCATCGCATTACGCACATTTGAAGCCAGGATGCAGAGCAAACCAGTGGCCTGTACATGAAGATGCGATAACTACGGTGAGATTGAACGTTTTATTTGTCGATTTGATTTGCATATCAGCTGTTCGATCCATGGCTGTCACACGGTTACAGACAAAAAGAGCCTGAAGTTAAGGAGGACAAAGGGGCGGATGGAGACACAGGAGCTTTAATTATGTTGTCTTAACACGACCAGCACCCTTATGAAAATAGCTGTGTGTATGCTACTGTATGGCCCTGTGTACTGGGGTGTACTTCATTAAGAAAGCAACTGTATGTAGCTTTTATAGATTTTAAAATGTTCAGTGTTTTGATCATGTTGTCTATCACAGCTGTGTGGAGCATTGGAAGACATCTGTGGAGCAACTGTGGCTCATGTCCATCTATGGTGCTGTGAAGTGCACAGGTAGATCAGATGCTCAATCCTCTCCTCCCTTCTTGCAGGCCACACCATCACAGCCACCACCTAGACTTTCATTTAAGTTTCACACCAAATGTATTCCAGGGTTAGATCACCATATGTCTGTCCTTGTGTGAACAGGTCTCAAGAAGTGTATAGTGGATTCTCATAAATGTGAATTTGTTCTACTGTTATTATGATGAAGGTTATTGTAAGACATGCTTGACACTGACATTTTATTTTATGCCCTTCCACTTGTTCAGCCTAGTGTCCCCTTCATGCACGACACAAGATCACAACATTATAATGAGAGGCTATATATAGCATCTTGTTAAGTCACAGTAAAACTAATGCTGCTGCTCTGGAAGTAGATGACAACAGTTGCACGTTAGCCATTAAATCAATCTCTCTCTCTCCCTGTCTCTGTTTTTCAAGGGATGCTAGCACCATGAGTGCAGGTTGTGTTGCAAGAGGAGATTGAATGCTTCTTTAATCTCAAGGTAAGACTTATTTTCTGCTTTGAACTTGTGTGTGTGTGTTCTAGTTGGTAGCGCTGGAATTGATCCATAGCATTGAACGGCTCTCCTTCATCTCAACTCCCCTTACTAAAAGCCAAACCTCATTCACATATTCAACATTGTTAATCATGCATGTGGCTGTCTGAAAGCAAAGCACATGTTTGTATACATTTTCACATGCTGCATTAATTACTTTCTTTTTTTAAATACCGACAGCTGTGTCCCACAGTGAGGTGTGTGTTTGTAAATGGAGGGGGGGCTTGTGTCAGCAAATCTAAAGGGAATTCTCTTTCTTCTTAGGCTCAATTAGACAAATTGCTGTGAGGGTAAAAGCAAACAGTGGCAGCTGATCCATCTGAATGGGCTATTGTCTGTGGATAATAAAAAAAGGAGATTTGATGGCACACTCTGTTGCATGGCCTGAAACACATCCAAGATTCACGTAAAAATACAACATGAACAAGAAATATTAAGCTTGAAAAACGATGTCATTAGATCCATCTGTGTGAACAAGTGTGTGCTGCAGGCTGTGAATGTTCAAGTTGAAAATTCTGTTAACATTTTAATTTTGCTTGAGGGCGCCTTGCAAGACAACTCTTCAGTCAGCGTTCGACCTTGAACTTGTGGACATCGATATATGCTATGCTGTTGAAGTTAGGATTCTGTACATGTAGCATGATTTTGTACTTATTCTAAGGAACCAGTTTAAAGCTTTAAGATAAAGACACTTTAGAGAATAAAAGTCAGCACAAATTAACTTTTTTATTTGGTTTTCTAAACAAGAGTTTGTCATAGAAAAGTGCAATTGAATCTAGTGTTTTCATTATTCTGGCAAAGTTGGTGTACAAAAGTCGCACCCATTGATTTGGCTTTTTTTATATAAATGTTGTGGGCTGGAGGTACACTATGAGTCTGTTTTTTGAGTTGTGTTCCTTATTTCCAAATAAAAGAAATGTAATGGTTGTACAAATAGGGATATTTTAGACAACTCTGCTTTGGCAACAGTTTTGGGAATACCCTTTCCTGATTTAACATGACAAGGCCTAGCACAAAGAAAACTCCATAAAGAATGGTGGTTTGGTGTAAAACAAATTGGCTGACCTGCACAGAGCCCTGACCTCAACCCCATTTAACATCTCTGGGTTGAGTCGTGCCAAACTGCAAGCCGGGCCATATCGCCCAACATCAGATCACAACTTCACTGATGCTTTTGTGGCTGAATGGGAGTCAATTCTGCCGACCAAGTTTCAAAATCTTGTAGAAAGCCTTCCCAGAAAAGGGTTGAAGTGTTAAAAGCTCATGAACACACCCAAGTCGGAAGATTAACTTTCCATCTAGTCCCCAGTTGTGGTGATTGTGATGCTGACAGTATGTGCTGCAGGAAACTTGACTTTGCTAATGGATTTGTTTGCAAGATAAATTGACATGCGACACGACTTAGATGTGAATAAAAACACATGCACATTTGCAATAGACAGGCTCCTCAGTCATACACACACTTGTTGTTCAAATGAAAAAGCAGACAGAGCAGCGGCTGGCGCTAGTCACTGTGACGAGAAGCCTCAATTGTCACAGCTAATGGCCTCTGACGCTGCCGTGTGTGTGTGTGTGTATGTTTGTGTTTGTGTTATTTAGCTTTTTACCAGACATGAATTTGATAAAAGCACGCTGATAAAGACCATGTTTGACTCGACATATCCTATAAGCATTGATTTACTGCAGCTGGAGAGATACATGTTTGTGCCTACAATAAAGACAGGGAGAGTAATGGGTGGTGCTTTCATTTTATTGCGGGTATCTGGCGAAACAGGAAGTTGACGTTTGAGACAAAGGAGGAAGTACTAGCTGACTAGATTACACAGAGAGGTTTGACCTACACACTAAATACACACTTTGTATGCACAGGCTGTACTCAGCATGCAACCCAATTATATGTATGAGGTTTGCACTTCCCCTTTGCCAGAACCAACAATAAATTATAGAAACAAGCAATGTTGGGGAAGCTATTTTAATACTTTTTCAAACTATGAATTACTCCACACTGATGGAGGTGAATCAAGGCAACTACCAGGAGTCTTCTAGTTAGGTTAACTGAAGCTTGATAGAAAAAGTTGTGCAAACCACTTTATACAAAAATAAACGTATAGTTTATTTGCATGTAGTTCATTTCTCCTACTGCTAACAAGTAGTGGAGTAGAGCTCTTGTTGTTTCAAAGTACATTCAAAAAACACAATGTTGCATTGGGACAACAGGTTAATTCATTACAATGAACATTTTTATCACACATTCAATGTCCTGTCTAATCACTAGAGCACCAAATGTATATTAATCCACAGCTAAAATAGTCCCCAATAAATGCACTATTCTGTCCTGTTATGTCATCAGCAGCCTTTTATTACATCAGGGGACTCAGATAAAACATAATTTAGTGTATCCTAGCATAACACTGTTTCATCTGTTTAAGTTGTATAAAAGTAAGTGGGGACTTTCATCGTGTACAGGGGATTCTGCACCTGCAGCCTTGTCTTAAAAAATGTAAGATTATACTACCTGATTAACTGTTCCATCAATGTTCTTCTTGAGATGGAAATAATTAGCTCAGAAAAATGTAATCAGACGCTCACTCTCCAGACGCAGATGGTTTGATCATCAAAGATAACAGGTTTCCTCACACGGAGCCACTGAGAAATACACCCTGCTATGTCATGTAACTTATATACTAATTTCCAGTGTCTGTGCTGATGCCTCTATTGTGCGGCACATCCCTGTCAAAAAATGGGGGTGGGGGGGACTAATGCTTTAGATATTTTGAGCTGCTGTCTGAGGATTCTTCTAACGATGTCGGTCTGATGGCAGTGCTGCTTGTGGAATTTAAAGAGCTTCTTTTGCTCAACAGCAAGAGAGCTTGTAACAACTTGACACAGTGATCCATGAATACTAATTTCAAATATTATATTTAAGATTCTTCTACTTGCGTCTCCTATTAGCCACAGCCTATTATCTCTCCATTCTCATTTTCACAGTCAGTCTTCCTTTTATGATTACTAATCAGACACACTGTATTCCCTGCACTCTCATAATCCTGCAAAACAGCAACACTAAAAGAAACACTGCCCATTTATTCCTAGTGTTCATACAGGATAAAATAATAACAACATTGCAAATATTCATCTGTAAATACACTCACAGTCGATGTTTTTCTGTCTCCCTCCCTCCATCACTCCATTCATCATGTAATAGGGTGGATTATGACTAATACCAAATCCTCCGGCTGTTTGCTGGCTGTCAAGCAGCTTTTACAAAGATTATAAATTGCTTAATATGTTTTGATGCCTGTGTGTTTGGTCAGGACTGCGCGTTGATCCACCTTTTGATCTCCAAACTGTCTAATCTGGTTAGGCGGCACCAGACGTCGATTTTCATAGCAAATCTGCTAGTTTTCAAAGTGAAGCGTTAAACACATTTGGCACCAGTTGAGAAAATCAACAGCTTGTAATGAAGAAAACAATCACATGTTTGTCTCAACGCTGACAGAGAAGATCTGAGTCAACAACTAAAGATGTCAGGAGAAAATGTATTGGTGTTGACCACCATAATTAAAGGTTATTAATTGATCGTGCGCTCTTTAGTCTTTGAAAAAGTGTTCCCAACAACAGCTAAATTATAAACAAACACACTCTATTCCTCTTTCACCCTTCACAAAGAGGTAGATCTAAGTTTGATCCATTCCTTTGGTGCTTTGGTTTAGCTCCTACGCATCACACACACACACACACACACACACACACACACACACACACACACACACACACACACACACACACACACACACTGATAACCCTTCACTGGAGATTTGAAAGAACACTCACATACTCTGAGGAGACCAGGGTTATACAGTGAGGAGGAGCTGCCTTGCTAAACAAAAGGACGCGGGCATAAGGAACAAGATGAAAGCTTTACTGTTGGCATGGCAACCACCAGATGATCTGCATGGCAAGGTTTGACGAGTTGACGGTGGATTCTGGGTTGGAGAGAAAGAGAGGTGAGGAAAACCGGTTTGATCCAGCTAAGCTGCGTGAGTGTATTTATCTCCTCTTTTATTGTTTTTATTCTCCTTCGTCCTTTCGTCAACAGATTCAGAGCAGCGTTACGTGACATCAAACCTCCGCTCAGTGTTTCCTCTGAAGCTACTGGGAGCTCATTATGCTGCCAGTCCAAGGGCTAAGACCCTCGAGCAGCTGTGTGTGTGTGTGTGTGTGTGTGTGTGTGTGTGTGTGTGTGTGTGTGTGTGTGTGTGTGTGTGTGTGTGTGTGTGTGTGTGTGTGTGTGTGTGTGTGTTCATATCGGCTTTTGGGTGTTTGAGTGATTGTCTTATGCTGTTGGCAAATATATTGGTCTAACAGGCGTATTGACACATCACACATTAATAGTGTCAGGGTTGGTCCCTACTGCCCCTACTGGAGCAGCTCCAATAGTACAGAAATTATATATACATATTTTGTTCCCCCATTACTTTGAATGCTCTTTTGCATGTTATCTTATTTATATTTAATCAGGCATTCAAACATTAATGATCAGGCTGAATCAAATACGTTTTTTTGAGTTGATACAAATAGACATTAATAGGGTTGACCTTGGGATTGATCATATTTTTTAAATATATGTTTTACAGTTATAAACTCATTGATACACTTAAATACAATTGCATATTGTCATAAAAACATAGTTGTCTTAATGTTGCCACAGTTTTGATCACACCTGAAAATGAGTGGCAGATGCTGCTGTTTCATCTTTTCCTGGAAAATCGGCCACCTCCTTGAGGCTCTGTCCTCTCCTTCCTCTCTTTCTCCCTTCTCATCCTTTTATTCCTCTATCTCTCTGCCCTTCAGCAAGAGCTTAAATTGGCAAGCGTTGTGGAACTAACACCTCGACTGCGCCCCTGGAGGTGTGTCAAGAGGTGCTGTTAGTGTTTGCCTCCTCA